TTGAATATTACAAAGTATCTTATTTAACCATGAACTTTCAGAGACCATTTATGAAAGATAAAAAAAATTTAATAATTAATGTTGGTAATTGAAAAGTTCCTCATCTAAATTACAATAAATCACTTCTAAAGTTATATATACTTAAAGAAGTTTTAGAAAAATATAAAATAGAGATGAGTGAATTAAATAAAAATTTAGCTTTAGTAAAACATTTTATAATATATAGTATACAAATATTTATATATCTAATTTGATTTTTTAAAAAAAAACTATTGACTTAAAAAAAAAAAAAAAGATAAATGAATTTATTGATTTTTTTAAATAAACATAAATTTTCTCAAATAAAGATTGATTCGATTATACTATCTTTTTACTTAATTTTTTATCAATATTTTGATTTTGTAATTCTATTATGGAAAAAAAAATTTTTTTGTTTCTTCAAATTTGTCAAGAATAATGTTTATTTATTTATTTGATTTGTTAAATGACCATTTGATACACAGGATGCGAAATCTTTGGTAAGGTAAGTGATCTTGGTTTGAGGTTTTTGCAATGATAGACTGAATTGTAAAAAGAATTACTATACGTATTTCGGCAATCTAAACATTTTTTTTATTTGGTGAGCTGAATAACAAAATAAAACAATATACTGTACTTACTGTGTATACTATATATGCGCGCATTTGACTTTAGAATCAAGAAATTGTACAAATACCGATTAAACTTGTTTAATAATAATAAATTGGAAAAATTCATGGTCAAACATAATGAATGATGGATTTTCGCGAACTAATTAAAAAAAATAAAACTCGATTTTTTTTTTTTTTTTTACCAAATCATATAAAATAAACGGTTCGACTCGCTTTATTTCTCTTAAGAATCAGGTCAATTATTTAAATTCAACAAGTTTTATTATAAATACCTAAGCCACTCAACCTGACATGAGTCACTCCATCTATATTATTAATGGGATTAATTGTAATAAGTAGTAGACTAGTATAAAGCTAAAGATAAAATTTCAGTTTTTGTAAAAAGTGGACAAAGTACAATTCCAAAATAAAAAATGTTATACATAAGGTACGAAAAGTAAGTGAAATTTTTTGATGTACGTATCCTACTTGTGCAAAAACCCCAACAAGCAAACCGCATTATCCATATTAGGAGGGAAATTTTTTAACAACAAAGCAATCCAACCGTCAAAATATTACAACACCCCTCCTGCGAAAGATTTTTTACCGATTTCATTTTACTCGAGAATTACATGAATTAGAATTCCGATCCCGGAATTTTGAAGTTTTCAGCATATGTAAGATATCTTTCAATCAACTTTGTTACTGGAGGAGGAAGATTCATCGAGATGAGGTTGTAGTGTATCTTCTTTAATCCGTCAGTTCGAATTAACTTGTTAAGGTTGTGAGAGATGGCTGTCGGATACTGGAGTCAAAAAATATATATATAAAGTCAAACTTGAAGACTTGATTAATAAGGCATATACGGGAAAAAGCTACATACAATTATTTCGTGATACCATCTTTCGTGGTAGACTGCCAATTTCACGGCGGCCGTCAAGGCATTCTTGACTTCCCCTTCCTCCGCATGGAATTCCAGCAGTCTCAACCATGCCTTCGAGGAAAATTTATGTTCGAGACAATTTTTGTAGGCCTCCTTTGCATCTTCCTACAAATGGAAGGTTCGTTAGTAAAGTCACTTGGAAATTTCAAACTTGGGAATTCAACAAGGTTAAATTTCGATGTCGCAACCTTACGGTGCAATCTTGCTGCGAGATCACCCAGAATCTCCCATTCAGTACCGGTTTTGCGATAGGACATCTGATGATTCTTGTAATGAGAAACCTCAGACCTCCAGACCGTATACACTCTTAAATCCTGTAAATGGAAGATATCGTCTCAACCTCTTCTCACACAAAATACAAAAATAAAATTCACGGCCGACGTGTCTTACTTCATATAAAACCATGAAAAGATTATCGAGCCACCTTTAAAGGATGATGAAAATAGATTGACGCAATTTTATACATGTGAACAAATAACGAAACTTTATTTGATCTCACAAACCTCTCACAAAGTCGTTTATTTTTAAATGAAAATGAATACTCTTTCTTCGCATCCTGAAGATATCAATGGAATGAAATTAAGAACTGGGTTAAAAAAACATTTAAAGAATGAAAGATATCAAACCTTATTTTGGTCATCATGTAGGCTTTGACTGTCATTCTTATCGTCATTGGCAGCCTGCAAAGGTTTCTCCAACTCGGGACCTTTGAATTCTACCGCCGGAATTTGGGAAGGATCACCCTTACCGTTTTTTTCATCGTTGAGGTTAACCTCCTCCAATGTGTCTGAGTCGACAGATTGCTCATCGACAGGTGCCGAATGATAAACCTCGTTCTCCTCATCATCGTTTTCATTCTTCGCCTCTTGTCTCCCGTTCACCTCTTCGCCACCGGTCTCGGAAGCATCATTTTCTTGAGAATCTGAGGGGTGTTTTAAAACTTTTTTATCTGGGTCCTCTTCAGAATCATTGGAAACTGTGATTTTTGGTATGGATCGCGACGAATCATTCAAACCATTCGTTTTGACATTCGCAACATCGTCCCCCTCTTCATCATTATCTCCTTTAGTTTGGGGGTCAACCGAGGTTTTTTGATTTTTTCGTTCCTCCTCGGCGGCTTTCTGCATGCGATACTCCTCTTCCATCACAAAGACCGATGATCGACATTTTAATAACTCATCCCACCCAATCTTGGCAACCAGGCGAGTTAGTAATGAATAGGCTTTTGCAAATGTGCCTCGAAGGGACGGTGCAGGCAAGCGCAAAAGGGCAACATCAGCCTTTACGTTGATTAGGAAATGTTAGTAATATTTTCGCAAAAAAAAAAAAATACAAATTGACGTTGGTCGTTGTTGATAAATCAAAATTACTTCATTGTCTCGACCACTGTCCTCTTCTAAAAGCCCAGAGCTACTGATTTCCTGTTTGATTGGAAGATGCGTCTTGGCAGGAGTTGGCATACGATGTGTGTCTCTTTCATTGTATGTGAACATCGGACAAGAATTCAGAGTTAACAAAGCCTTAATTTGAAGTTTTTAGACGAAACTTAAATGAGTGAGTTTGAAGCGACTCGAATATGTGGAAATCACACCTTCGGATATAGAATGCAAATTTACATACCGACTCGTATAAACCAAGTTCGATATATACTTCGGTCAATTTAGCCCAAGTGACGAATTCAGAAGGAGCACAATTCACCGCCTGCTTAGCAAGCTTTAGGGCATAATCTTTCGCATTCTGTTGTGATTTACAAAAAAAACGTGGTTAGGTGAATCAATAAAAAAAAAATCAAAAAAAAAAAAAACAAATACTATTAGCCGATGTTGCTTGCCTTTGAAAGTAAGAAATCAATTTGAACATGTAACAAAGCGTAGCTCATTGGGCTCTGTTTCAAGGCGTCATATAAAATGTTAACTGCCTTTATTTCTTCGTCTGCAAAAGCAGTCATGTTTCACGAGATGTTTAACAGGGTGCGCAATAAACATGAAATAACTTTTAAAAAAAAGAAGTCAAATTCTTACCCATTCCAATATATGATTGAGCCAATAGCGAGGCGACCTCTGGGTCTTTTGAATACAGTAGGCTCAAGTTAAGGAAATTCGTGTAAAATGCAATAAGATGTCCGTCAAAGTTTTCGATAATTAAAGGATATATTTTTCGAAAAGGTTCACCGCACGTTCAAACCGAAAATTCTCGCTAAAATATTTCATTATTCCCGCGGTCAGGTGATTGCTGACAACGGTTGCGACTTGAATTTCGGGATCGGAACCCAGCTGCCACCCTAATTTCAAAATGCACCACATAACCAAAAGGAATGAAATCGAGCATCCAATTGTGCATTCGGAATATTTTCAAACCTTTGAAAAAAAGATTCTCGGCAGCCTCCAAGAAATGAGCCTCCGCCTCTATATTAGGGATGGGATCTATTTTGCGGAAACCGGCCAATCTATAATTGGCATCGTCCGAGTAAAGTATGGAGCGTAAAAGTGCTGAAATGTAGGTTTCCTGCCAAATTTCTGGTGTCGCCTCGTGTCTAATGTAATTATGCGACAATCAGTATACCAAATTTTAATCGTCAGGTGATCGCAAGATATGTCAGATGTTGTCACCTTTCACCACGCAGATCAACCACATAGCTTTCGACACCTCCAGGAATTTTTACTTCGACGCGCACGTCAACACGTGCGAATGCATTGAAGCAACTACACGAACAATCCAATTAATTAATTAATTAATTAATGAACTGGAATGGACAACTAGCTGAAATAATTCCGGACTATACTGGATTCTGTGCATACCAATATACCCCCGAACGAATTCTCCACGCTGAAGACTTGGAAAACCAAGCATGGGTTTCTTCCTTAAAAAAAGTGAGCATGTAAATATCACACGGTAAGCCCGAGACAAGTTCGAATTCATCAGTCACCAATTACCAGTGCATAAGTCAACGAGTTCAGGTATGCCGCCAAAGTGGCCGACGAAGAAGCATCGACTCCCGACACATAATGGTAGGAACCAACCTGGCGCACAGTGAGAATGGTATCAAGCATGAGCAAAGAAAAACCACGTCTGACAAATAATTTATCAATGAATGACAAGTCTACCTCTTTAACGCCGGGCTTGGCGCTGGCTTTGGTGATATGACAAAGGTCGGGAGGACCGAGTTCTCGGAAGGAAGCTAAGACGCAAGGGAAACGTTCATTACTCTGAACCAAGGTTTCGTGTGCGAGCGTCTATTCACTCACTTTAAACGAAAATCATCAAGCACGCCCGAGAGATTTTTAGATTATGAATATATATACCTAAGCTTTCTGTTCTAGCAGTCAAGGACTCATCCAGTTGCGTTTCGAAAAACTCCGGAACATCTTTCAATGTATCCATACTCAGCGGATACCGATGAAGATAATTTTTCGTTGGCTCTTTTTTTTTTTTTTTTTTTTACGTGCGTAGAGGGAATCCGAGAAAGCTAAGCAAAATTTATATCAAATTACTATAGAAAGTTTAATCTAAAATATGTTATCCCTACTGTTCACTCGTGTAACACAATACTTGCACAATTCTGATTGAACTGTGCGACGAAGGTTCGTGACGCGATGTGGCACAAAGCAATTGGTGATGACCACTTGAGCTTAAGGTGGAGTAGATCCTGAACGCGCCTGTTTGTTGTTAACACCGTCATCACCCGTTTTTTTTTTTTTTTTTATCTTCGCGCAATTGTAAAACATCAATTCCAAAAATCCAATACATTATAAAATGAGTTTCGCCATAGATTTCATCATTGATCACCCCAGTGACGACGATAAACATTTAGACGTCGACTCCGATTCGTACATTTTTCCCTGGGACGAGAATTACAACACAACAGAAGGAGAACCTCCGACGCCTTCCACACCACCTCAAAAGGTGCAACCCGAATGTCCCTTGACCTCGAAGAATTCGCCGGAAATGTCCTCAACCTCTCAGCCATC